GCTGAAGGGACTAGAGAAGAATCTGTCCTTGCCTTTTCCAGCTTCTGGTGGTTGCTAGCAATACTTGGTGTTCCGTGGCTTGTAGACTCATTACTCCAGTCTCTGCCTCCATCTTCACATGGAGTTCTCTGTGTGTTCCTCTGTGTCTTCACTTGGCTTTCCTATGAGGCCAACAGTCATTGGATTTAGGGCCCACACTAATCCAGTATGACCTCATCTTAACTAATTACATCTGCAAAACTGTGTCCAAATAAGGTTACATTCTAAGGTTCTGGGAGGACAGGAATATGTGGGGGACACTATTCAACCTTGTACAGTTACAGTAAGAATATGTATTATTTCTCACCTTTGTTTCTGTTCTGTTTATCCAGTAGATTGTAAAGACTTCCTAATAAAGCAAGAAATTAAGATTTTGCACAGAGCCTTTAAAAGATTTTATGCTATCATACACTAAAACTTTGTTACTTTCCCAATATATTTTAAAATTATAATACTAGATAGTACATTTTCCATCTATTAGGGGTAAAAAGAAATGTTATAATTTTGGGTTTTGCTACCTTTTAAAAATGCTTTTTCTCTCTCTTTTTTTAAAGGACTGCAGCATTCAAGAAAAAATACATTTAGAAATTCGAATACGAGAAGGGGTATGGAAACTCCTTTCTCTGAGCACTCAGAAAGACCAGATTTTGCATGCAGTTAAGAATCTCATGGTGTGCAGTGCTCGAATAATGGCTTACACGTTGGAGCTGCAGAAATTAGAAGATCAGATTGCAAATCAAATTGGAAGATGGTTAGTGACATTGTTTACCTATGGCTTTTAATGTACTTAAATATTTGCATTAAAAACACCATATAGGGCTTCCCTGGTGATGCAGTGGTTGAGAGTCCACCTGCCGATGTAGGGGACACAGGTTCGTGCCCCGGTCCGGGAAGATCCCACATGCCGCGGAGCAGCTGGGCCTGTGAGCCATGGCCGCTGAGCCTGCGCGTCCGGAGCCTGTGTTGTGCAACGGGAGAGGCCACAACGGTGAGAGGCCTGCATATCGCAAAAAAAAACCCAAAAACGAAAAAAACAGCACCATGTAATTTAACCTGAAATGTCAAATCACGAAAGCTTTTAAAAAATACACTGGGGCTTCCCTGGTGGCGCAGTGGTTGAGAGTTCGCCTGCCGATGCAGGGGACACGGGTTCGTGCCCCGGTCCGGGAAGATCCCACATGCCGTGGAGCGGCTGGGCCCGTGAGCCATGGCTGCTGAGCTCTGCATGGCCGGAGCCTGTGCTCCGCAGCGGGAGAGGCCCGCGTACTGCAAAAAAAACAAACAAACAAAAAAACACACTGAAGTAGCCTCTGATATCATAAACATTTTGACAGTAGGGCTCAGAGTAAACTTACTATTAAGGCAGCAGTTTTGACTGGCCAGTTTTGTTGTGTTCAGTACTTCCAGATTGTAAAATGAAGTGCTTAGGAAGCAAGGAGTGAGGAAATATTTTAGGAAGGACCAAGACTGATATCTGAGTGTATAGAAATGTAAATTAAAAAAAAACAAACTAATTGCTTAAAAATAAACTGATAAAAAGATACTAGCTGAGAGTAATGGAAACTTAGAAATTGAAATGAGTGGGCAGCAAAATTAAAGATATAAATGGAATTAAAGCTATGAATGGGATTAAAGCTATGAATAGACTTAAAGATATGAATGGAAGGGAGCTTAAAAATCTGCTAACACATACCTTTCATATGTTGAGTGTAAGTTCCAGAGAGGCAAGTGACTTACTCAAGGACACTTGAGTGACACTAGTGACGCTAGAACACTAGTGAGTGTTCTAACTAGCGACAGAAGCTAATGAGAGGGTACTTACCATTTGCTAAGTAACTTCTGGTCCTTGTTCTCTCTGTCACTACTGTTGGCCTTTTTGGATCAGGTCTAGATTTTGTGTATGAAATTTACATCCTATCCTATTTACAATGCCAAGTCTTATTTGGACCTTAGGATTGACTCAATTTAGTGGCTAGATATTGGTTTCCTTTTTAATATAAATGGTTTCACATTATCCATTGTTGATCAGTTTTAAAGCTGTAACACTAATTAAAAGTTTCTTTTTAGACATTAGTGGCCATTGATTGGGCTGTTCATGGTACACCTCCATGAAATTCTTGAAAAGTAAGGTAAAAACACAGGTCAGAGAAAGAGATTTTTGTAAAAATAGAATATTGATGAAATCGTATAATAAACACTTATGTATGTAGTGGCTAATATTTATTAGCTTTATTCCTTTGGGATAGCTATTTAATCTCTTTGTGCCTTATTTCCTTCATTACAGTTGACATAATAATATTTACATTTTGAAAATTAAGATGATATATATTAAAAACCTAATAATACCTTTTATGTAATTAGTACTCAATGTATGTCAAAACAATTTTCACTATTATTTATCCCTGGCATTATAAAATGAAATTATTCCAGTATCATAATCCAGGAAAATATTTTTCAGATACACATACACTGGATTAAGTCAGTGCTTCACCAGCTGTGTCAAATACATTACTTAGAGTAGATGATTTTGTATCACAAGATATGCAAAGCCAAAGAATAAATATGACATATCTTTTTATAGCATGAATTTTTAAGATAAAGCATGAGGAATTTAGGATTGTGGCATGGTTTTGGATTTTTTTTTTTTTTTTTTTTTGGTTTTGGATTATGCTACTCATCGGGATACATGTTCCTTCTCCCCAGCCTTTATAACAATATGTTGTCAAGGGGTGGGACTGTTTAAGTGGAAGAATTTTAGAAACACTGGTTTAAGTACAGTGTGGGACTAAACACTCAATATTGTATCATTTCTCACAGTTATATGGAATGTCCCTCTGGGAATCATGTCTACCCTTCATATTCATGTTCTTTAAGTATTTATAACGAATTGTGAACTGGCCATTTTCTTTAACAGCTTTCCTGCAACTTTCCTGAAGTTGCTGATTTGGAAAAATGTTAAGTAAGCTTAATTCCTGTTGGATTTATATAACAAAGACAAGAAAAAATATCTGGGACTCTCAACTGAAGATGTGTACAATTTTCAATTTCTTTACTGATTATCTTTGATAGATGAAAATAGCTTTGATGCTATATTTGTTTTATATTTGAACATGTATATTTGTTCATCACTCATTGCCTCCATTAATATTGAATTATTTCTTTAAAAAATCTGAATATTCTATATGAATTATTTTGTTTACAACTTCATTTTGTTATGGGCAGATATAACCTGAGGTTACTGATCAAACATAACTGGAAATTATAGTACTTTCCTTCTTACTACATAAAAATGATCTAAAGATAAAAGAGAATCCCATGATAGTTTTTTAGTTCCTTGAAGAAAGTTATGTAAATTATGCCATTTGGTTAGTCAATCCAATATTTATTGAATATCTACTACTTGTAGAACACTTACTTAGTATTGTGCTACTGTATCCAAATTCAAAGAACAGAATTTGTCGAAATGTGAGTATATTTGTGTATTCAGCAGTCAAATACCTTACCTTTAGAGACTCAGTAGTCTGTTCCTTAGCTTGGTTTTGATGGTCTTTAAGATAGAAAAGTGCTCCACTTTTACTTTGCTACCAGAATTAAAATAGCATTTTAGCGAGTCTCCTGTCTACCACTAGTCTACCTTCTCTAAAATTTTATGATAAAATGTAAAAAAAATTAATACAGACAATACATCTAGACTCTTTCAAAGAAGAATCAAATCACTATGAAATGGTAGAATCGAGGAAGGTCTAGTGGAAGAATTGGGTCTGAATCTTCCAGATCATAAAGGGTGGGTAGAGTTTGGTTTGTTGAGTAGAAAGAAAGCAGATTAAAAGTAAGAAAAATAGCAAAACAAAAGCTTAGGGTGAAAAATGAGCATGAATTCAAGAACATTGAAGAGGTGTGTTTGGTTGAGGCTGAAGATCAAGCCAAAGTTGAAAAGGAAGTGGGTAGCAAAATTCAAGAAAGTTTACAATGACATCAGGTTAACTGGTATTAACTAACAGCCTTTCCAGGTGCCAGATACTGTGCTAGGGTTTCACAAATACCACATCACAAACTGAGAGAGGTATAAACCTCTTTATTAAAGATTTGGGAACAGGAACTTAGAAAATATTGGATAACTGTTTCAAAGGGCACACAGTGACTCTGTGACTAGGATGTGAACCCAAACGGCTTTTAACATTGATTTCATTGTTTATCTTTTACCATTTTATTTTCAGTAAGAAAGAGGCATGATAAAATGGGAGTTTAGGAAGGTTATCTGGCAGTAGAGTATTGAAAAGGATGGTGAGGCAAAATAATTGAAATAATAAATTTTTAGGGAAAATATTTAAGAACAGGCAGATAGAGAAGTGATCAAATAAGTAACTTTTGATGCGATAAATGAGATAAAAACTAGTGCATGAGTTTTGGGTTTTTTTAATAGATATTTACTCAAGGTCCTCTTGATACAGTAACAACGATTCTGCAAACAGTTTCACTTATTTCTCAATTTATTATGAGTTCATTAAAGTAAGCAAATAGTCTTACTTCATTTTACAGCCTGTTTAAACTGGGGTTCCAGGAAAGAGTTAAGCCCTAATGCCCCAAGACATGCATTGTATACAATGACTTAACTTCTGTGTATTTAGAATAGTGCTAGTTTGGTACCATTCTTGGGAGAATTGAGAAAATAGTCATTCTCTGGTTTAGTTGAGGAACCCCACTTGAGAAATCAGTGATAGACTATATCATTTATTCTTTTTTTAACCAACTATCTGAGAATATTGGTAATTGGTTAAATGTTCCATTACCATAATGTTCTAATAATGTAACAGAAGCTTTGTTCTCCTTAAATGTATGTAATTATGAAACACCTTCTGGTATACTATCTATTTTTTACATCTAAATATGCAAAAGATACCCAGATTTGTGTAAAATTCATAATAAATAGAGTTGTGTAAAATTCATAATTATGAAACACCTTCTGGTATACTATTTTTTACATCTAAATATGCGAAAGATACCCAGGTTTGTGTAAAATCCAGAATAGAGTCAGGGTGACTCAAAAAAAAAGTAGAATATGGAAAGTTTTCTAGGTTGAGTAGACAGTAGCTAGTGAGGGTACGGGGTGGAGCACGGACAGCTGACTGCCTTATTAGTTCAAAGGGTAGGATTGCTTGGTTACAGCAGTCTGTCAATATGCTAGTCTTTCAACTGGTAAACGAGACTATCTCCCTACCTTTTCCCTGCATCTTATAGCCATATATACCTACTTTAAAGACTTGCTTATATTGGTCCACTTCTTAAAAAATAGCTAATGGTTTCCGTTTACTAAAATTCCTTAGGTAGGCATCGCATTCCAGGATCTTCGTGGTCTGACCTCAAACTACTTTCATAGTAGTTTACAAATTAGTTCTTAACTTTCTACTTTACAGATATATTTCAGCCAAATGCTTGATCTGTATCCCCAAAACAGTTCTTGAATTTTTCTGTCTCCAGTGCTTTTGCTTATACCGAAGTGCCCTATCTTCCATTCCCATTTCATAAGACCTCTTTTGCTCTGCAATACCCTACTTGCATCATCAAAGTTTCCTTTGAAATTGTATTCAGAAAAAGATCATTTCTTCCTTTATGCTCATAGTAAGGACTCAAAAATGATTATTTGCCTCCTTTTAGTTCTAGTAGCATCTGAACCATGAATATCTCACTGTAGTATACTATATTCTAATATTCTATATTCCATTTATGAACATGTATTATCAATTAAATTAT